CCACGGCCTCAACTTTCCCCATATTTAATTCCCTGACATTCAGGATTTTCCCCTTCCCTCCGTCCCGCGGATCCTTTTCCCGTATTCAAACCCGCCCCGGGATCGGCACTGGGCGGATCCGGAGTGGCCCCTCCTCCCCTTGGGACACGAACGGGAAGAATTTTCCCGGGGGTTCCTCCCCGTCCCCCAGCGCCATCCTCGCCACCAAATCCTTCTTCTCCACATCGTAAAATTCCAGCCGCTCTTCCTCCGGGTCCAGGAGCACTCCGAGCACCGAGAGACCCTCCCGCTGCTCCCCGACGGCGCGGCCGCCGCAGAAAAGCCGTCCCTGGGAGGCGCGGAGAGCCCAGGAGCGCTGGGGATCGGCCCGGGGGTCACTCCGGGGGTCACTCCGAGGGTCATTCCGGGGATCGTCCCGGGGGTCACCGCGGGGATCGCCCCAGGGCTCATTCCGATGGTCATCCCTGGGGTCATCGCGGGGGTCATTCCGGGGGTCATTCCGGGGATCGTCCTGGGGGTCATTCCGGCGGTCACCCCGGTGGTCACTCCAGCGGTCACCCCAGCGGTCACTCCGATGGTCCCCCCGATGGTCCCCCCATTGGTCAGTCCGATGGTCACCCCAGCGGTCACTCCGGCGGTCACCGCCCGCTCCGTCCCCGGTCACTCCGAGCGCCCAGCGCCGCTCCCGGCCCAGCTCCACCTCCCAGTAGCGCTTCCCGGCCCCCAGCGCCTCCCGCCCCAGCAGCGCCGCCGTCGGGAGCGGAGCCCGCGCGTCCCCGAGCTCCAGGAGCCGCGGGGTGGGGTCCAGAGATACCGGAGCTGCGGGAGAGAACGGGGAGGAGCCGTGAGAGGAGCGGAGATACCGGGAGAGAACGGGGAGGAGACGTGAGAGGAGCGGAGATACCGGGAGAGAACGGGGAGGAACCGTGAGAGGAGCGGAGATACCGGGAGAGAACGGGGAGGAACCGGGAGAGGAGCGGAGATACCGGGAGAGAACGGGGAGGAACCGTGAGAGGAGCGCAGATCCCGAAGGGGAGCGGAGATCCCCGGGAGAGGAGCGGAGATCTCGGGGGAGAACGGGGAGGAACCGTGAGAGGAGCGGAGATCTCGAATGGGAACGGGGGAGGAGGAGCGGAGATACCGGGAGAGAACGGGGAGGAGCCGGGAGAGGAGCGGAGATACCGAATGGGAACGGGACATTCCCGGGGCTGCGGGGAGCTGAGCGGCCGCGGAATGCCCGAATGCTGGAATCCTCAAATCCCAGAAACTCCAAATCCCCATTCCCCAGAATCCCCAAATCCCAAAAATTTATGGAATCCCCAAATCCCAGAAACTCCAAATCCCCAAATCCTGGAATCCCTGAACCCCCAAATCCCCAAATCCCAGAAACCCGAAATCCCAGAAATTTCATATCCCCAAACCCCAGAATCCCCAAATCCCAGAAACTCCAAATCCCAGAAACTCCAAATCCCAGGATCCCCAGATCCCAGAATCCTCAAATCCCAGATTTCCCAGATCCCAGAAACCCCAAATCCCAGAATCCTCAAATCCCATAAATTTTGTATCCCCAAACCCCCAAATCCCAGAAATTCCAAATCCCAGAATCCCCAAAACCCAGATTTCCCAGAATCCTCAAATCCCAGAAACCCTGAACCCCAATCCCCCAATCCCCAAATCACAGAATCCGCAAACCCCAAAATCCCCAAACCCCAAATCCCCAATCCCCAAATCCCAGAAACCCCAAACCCCAGAATTCTCCGAAACCCCAAATCCCACAATCCCCGAATCCCAGAAACTTCAAATCCCCAAATCCCAGAAATTTCATATCCCCAAATCCCGGAATCCCCAAATTCCAGAAACTCCAAATCCCGGAAACTCCAAATCCCAGGATCCCCAAATCCCAGAATCCTCAAATTCCCAAATCCCAGATTTCCCAGATCCCAGAATCCTCAAATCCCAGATTTCCCAGATCCCAGAATCCTCAAATCCCAGAAATTTTGAATCCCCACATCCCAGAAACCCTGAACCCCAATACCCCAATCCCCAAATCACAGAATCTGCAAATCCCCAAATCCCCAAACCCCAATTCCCCAAACCCCCAATCCCAGAATTCCCAAATCCCCAAATCCCAAATCCCCAAACCCCATTCCCCCAATCCTGGCTCACCCGCGTGGCTCCGCACTTCCCAGAAATCTGTGGGGAAAAAAAAAAACAAAATTCCTTTTTTTTATGGGAATTCGATACTTCCCAGAACGGGAAAACCCTTTCGGCCCCAAAATTCTGATTTTTTTCCCCCAAAAATCCCAAAATTCCCAAATTCCTGTGAATTCAGCACTTACCCAGCTCGCCTTTCAGCTCACCTGAAAGAAAAAAAGTATAATTTTTTATAATTTTTATAATATTATAATTAGTATGCTTTACAATTTTATAATTTCTATAACTTTCATAATTTTATAATTTTAAATTTGTATATATTTTTATAATTTTTATAATTTTTATAATTTCCATAATTTATAATTTTATCATAATGTAGATAAGAACAGATATTTTTAATAACATCATTATCTTAATAAGAAATTTGATATAATAATTTAATAAGCTTTAAATATTTAACAATAATTAAATTTTGTGATGAATTTTAATATTTTAATAATAATTTATATACTTTTAAATGATAAATTTTAATATTTTAATAATGATTTTTAAGATTTTTAAAAAACAAATGTAATAAAAATATAATGAACGAATTTTTCAATAAATAAATTTTAACATAATTTTATTAAAAACGGGAAATTTTTAATAAACTTTGGGGGGAATGGAAATTTATAGGAATTAATGGGAATTTATGGAAATTAATGGGAATTAACAGAAATTTATGGGAATTTATGAAAATTTATGGGATTTTATGGGAATTTATGAAAATTTATGGGACTTTATGGGTATTTACTGGAATTTATATAAATTTATTGTAATTTATGGGAATTTACAGAAATTTATGGGAATTTATGAAAATTTTGGGATTTTTTGGGAAATTATGGGAATTTATGGGAATTCATGGTAATTTATGGGAAATTCATGGGAATTTATGGGAATTTATGAGACTTTTGGGGAATTTATGGAAATTTGGGAATTTACAGGAATTTATGGGAAATTTATGGAAATTAATGGGACTTTATGGGAACTTACGGGGAATTTATGGGGAATTGATGGGAAATTTATGTAAATTTCTGGGGAATTTATGGGAATGTATGGAAATTTATGAGGAATTTATGAAAATTTATGGGAATTTATGGGAATTAATGTAAATTTATGGAAATTTGTGGGACTTTACAGGGATTTAAGATAATTTATGGGAATTTATGGGTATTTATGGATAATTTATGGGAATTTATAGAGAATTTATAGGAATTTATGGAAATTTATGGGACTTTATGACAACTTATGGGGAATTTATGGGGAATTTCTGGGGAATTTATGGAAATTTATGAAAATTTATGGGGAATTTATGGGGAAATTATGGGGAATTTATGGAAATGTATTGGAGTTTATGAAAATTTATGGGAATTTTTTTTAATTTATGGGAAATTACGGGAATTTGTAGGAATTTATGAGAAGTTACGGGAATTTATGGGAATTTGTGAGACTTTTGGGGGAATTTATGGAAATTTATGGGGAATTAATGGACATTAATGGGACTTTATGGGAACTTACGAGGAACTTATGGGGAATTTATGGGAATTTGTGGGAATTTGTGGGAATTTGTGGGAATTTACATGGATTTAAGATAATTTATGGGAATTTATGGGTAATTTATGGAAACTTATGGGACTTTATGGGAATTTATGGAAATTTATTGGAAGTTTATTGGAAGTTTATGGGACCTTATGGGGAATTTATGGGAATTTTATGGGAATTTCTGGAAATTTCCTTACCCATACGTTTCTTGAAGTGGATTTTTGCTGGAAAGGAAAAACAGGGAATGAGTGACGGGACAAGAAATTACAGGAAAATTTCACAGGAAAAAAATTAAAATTGTTGGTGAGAAAATCAAGAATCAAAATTATCTTCCCTTTGGGAGATTTCTGCCATTAAATTGCAGGATTTTGGGAATTACCGATTAAATTTCAGGGTTTGGGGAATTACAGATTAAATTATAGGATTTCAGGAATTTCAGGAATTTTTCCCTAAAAATGGGAGGGGAGGGGGAGGAGTTTCCATCCCGTGGAATTCCAGGGGTACATGGAAAATTTGGGGTCAGATCCCACGATTTTGGGGTCTTTTCCCACCAAAATTCCATGGAACCCCAAGGAAAAGATGGGATCGAGCCCTCTAATTAATCACTTTTAATTCTAATTAAGGTGATTAAGCTGAAGATTGCTTTCCTGAGGAAATTAATTAATTTAATTAATTAAACTAAATTAAATTATATTTATTTTAAGGAAATGGGATTTACCCGCTCGTTTCTTGGCTTTTTCTCCGTCTGGGAATTTCGGATGTGGGATCAAAGGAAATAATCGGGAAAAAGATTAATTTGCTAATATTTATTAATATTTATCAATATTTATTAATGCATATAAATATTTATTAATATTTAATAATGCCTAATAATAGTTGTTAATCGTTATTAGTTTTAATAATATTTATTAATATTTAATAACATTAATTGCTTTTGTTGATGATGTTTGTGGGTTCCTTTCTGAAGGGAAAAGGAAAAAGGGAAAAAGGGGAGAAAGGGAAAAATGGGAAAAAAGGGGGAAAAGGCGAAAAAAGGGAATAAAAGGGGGAAAAAGGGGGGGAAGGAAAAAAAGGGGAAAAAAGGGATAAAAAGGAAAAAGAGGGGAAAGGGTAAAAAGGGAAAAAAAAAGGAAAAAGGGAATTCAAGTGAAAAAAGGAGGGAAAGAGAAAAAGGGGAAAAAGGGGAAGGGAACAGGAAAAAGGGAAAAGAGAAAAAAGGGGAAAGTGAAAAATGGGGTTAGGGGAAAAAAGGGAAAAAACAGGGAAAAGGGAATAAAAGGGAAAAAACAGGGAAAAGGGAATAAAAGGGAAAAAACAGGGAAAAGGGAATAAAAGGGAAAAAAGGGGGGGAAAGGTAAAAAGGGGAAAAGGAAAAAAGGGAAAAGGGAAAAAAGGAGGGAAGAGAAGAACAGGAATAAAAGGGAAAAGGAGGAAAAGGGGGGAGAGGTGAAAAAAGAAAAATAGGAAAAAGGGGGGAAAGGAAAAAATGGGGGAAAGGGAAAGAAGGAAAAGAAGAGGAAAAAACAGGGAAAAGGGAATAAAAGGGAAAAAGAGGGGGAAGGGAGAAAAAGGGGGAAAGGAGAGAAAGGGGAAGAGAAAAATGGGGAAAGGGGAAAAATGGGGAAAAGGGAAAAGGGCGAAAAAGAGGGGAAAAGGGAGAAAAGAGAAAATTAGGAAAAAGTGGGGGAAAGAAAAAAAATGGGGGAAAGAGGAAAAAAGGTGCAAAGGGGGGAAAAAGGGAAAGGGAAAAAAGGAGGAAAAAGGAAAAAAAGAAGGAAAAAGGGAAAAAACTCACCCAGCACTGACTTCACTTTCTTTTTCTCTGGAACAGAAAATGTGGAATTTTCACATCCAAAAATCCCAATTTAGGAATTTTGATCATCTAAAAAATGATATTTTTTTTTCCCTTTTGATTACTCAGAATCAATTATTGAATCRATGGATGCATCCAAGGGTTCAACTGCGTTTTATTCCATTGATAAGATTTCTCTGATTCGATAATTAATTTATTTATTAAGATTTTTTGGGTTTTAACAGAATTTTTAAATTTTTTTTTTCATTTGAACTTGAGCAAAAAGAGATTTGTCAAAAAAAAAATCAGTTGATCAGATGACTTTTAAATGGCAAGAAAATAGAAATTAGAAAATATTAGAAAATATTAGAAAATATTAGAAATATCAGAAAATATCAGAAAATATAAAAAATATTGGAAAATATTAGGAAATATTAGGAAATATTTAAGATATTAGAAAATATTAAAAATAGAAAAAAGAGAAATTGGAAAATAAATTTTGGAATTGGGACATCTAGAAATTTTCAATCTTATAAAAACGAAGGGCAACTTGAGTAAAAATACCCATAATTGTAAAAAAAATCAGTAAATTTGAGAGTTCTTTGATTTCAGAATTGTAAAATTGTGAAATTTGAAATTGTAAAACTGAGGAAATGGAACAAAAAAAAGACGGAAATTCAGTCCTGGATTTCAACTTTCAATCTGGAGAGAATTCCCGGAAATTGCACATTTTTACCTTCTTCCACCTCCAGCTTCACTTTTCCTGGAAAATCGTGAAAAATTTCAATTTTTTAATTCTTTATTCCTTCTTTAAATGAATGTTTTCTGACATACACTGTTTCTCATCCGATATTGAATATTTAATCTGTTAATTTGCATATTCAAGAGATGTTACTAATAAATTTATTATTATACTTCATATTTTCAAGATTTTCTATTTCTTTGTATTTACATCTATTTCTGTTTTATTTTAATATTTTTTATATTTTATTATTGTAATTTAATTTTTATTTATTATATTCAATTATATTTGTTATCTATCATTCAAACTGGTTACTTTCCTTTATTATGATATATTGTTTATTTTATATTTTTATATATTTATTTTATAATTTGCTATTAAATTTTATCATTCTGTTTCATTATTATATTTATTATTGTATTTTAATTTTATTTCATTATTTAATTTGATGATTAATTATATTTTGTTATTTATTATTTTACTTTTTTATTTTACTTTTTTATTTTATTATTTATTTTTCATATTTGTCTAGATTTCTTTGATATTTTATTATTCTTTTTTATTATATTTATTATTGTAAATTCTTTATTATCATATTTAATTAATATATTTTCTTTTTTTTATTTTTTGTTATTATATTTTACTATAATATTTTATTGTATTTGATTACCCGCTATTTCATTTTATTATTTTATGTTATTATCCTATTTTATTTCTATTTTTATATCTCTCTATTTTTTCAGTATTTAATAAAATCTTGTCTTTGTTATTTCATATTTAATATTTTAATTAATCGATGGAATGCTTCCTTTTTGGAATAAATAATAAATAAATAATGAATAAATAATAATAGGAATTAATAATTATTATTTTACACTGATATAATTATAGTGAGGATAGGAAAACAAATGACAAGAATGCATTATCATAATTAAGAATTATTATTCATAAATAGTTAATAATTAAAAAATAACTGTTAATAAATAATACTTGATCATTAATAAACAAATAATCAATTATTAATTAATTATCCTGGTCACTCACCAGCCCTCACCATTCTCTTGTGGCTCGCTGTGTAAAAAAAAAAAAAAAAGAGAAAAAATAAAATCGAATTTTCTCCCCATTTATTTATTTATTTATTTATTTATTTATTTGTTTGTTTGTTTGTTTGTTTGTTTTAGGGAAATTTGGCTCCTTTTCCCAAATTTTCCCCTGGAAATTTCCAGAACTCACTGCGGAGGAGGCAGAACACGGCGGAAATCAGGGCCAAGTTCAGGAACAGAACCGCCAGGAAAATCCGCAGCCACCGGGAAACAGAGGGAAGGAAAACGTCTGGGAAAACCAATCATCGGGAAAATGCAAATTATCGATTAATTACTAATTATTCTGTTGGTAAGGGTGCTCGATTAAGGATTAAATAGCCCGTTAATTAATAATGTTGCAATAATCAATAAAGGATTTCGATTTGTCATTCGTTATTAAATCTTTAAAATATTTAAAAGTTAAATATCCATGAATTATTAATATTTTGTTAATTTTTAAGGACTCCATTTTCTATTCATTAATAAAGGTTCCATGAATGATTTAAGGATTAAATATTCCATTACTGATCGTTTTTTTTTTCTTAATTATGTAAGGATTCAGCTTTCCATTTGCTATTAAATGTTCTTTAAAATATTTAAAGATTAAATATTCCCCTAATTATTAATATTTTAATAATTATTTAATGTTTAGGTTTTCAATTAAAAAATTGAATTAATAAAGCTTCTATAAATGATTTAAGGATTAAATATTACATTAATGATCGATTTCTTCTTAATAATGTAAGAATTCAGTTTTCCATTCATTGTTAAATGTTCTAAAAATTATTTAAAGATTAACTATCCCATGAATTATCATAATTTTATTAATTATTGCATGTTTGAGTGTTCCGTGAATTAATAAAGACTCTGTAAATAATTTAAGGATTAAACACCATTGATATTTTATTAATTCTTTAAGGATTCCATTTTCCATTAATAAAAAGAGATTCTATAAATTATTGAAGGATTCAATAGTCCATTAATTATTGACTCTTCTATGAATGATTCAAAGATTAAATATTCCATTATTGATCGATTTTTTCTTAATTATATAAGGATTCAATTCTCCATTAATTGTTAAATATTCTTCAAAATATTTAAAGATTAAATATTCCCCTAATTATTAATATTAATATTAATTATTTAGTGTTTGAGTTTTCCAAGAATTAATAAAGCTTCTATAAATTATTTAAGGAATAAATATTCCATTAATGATCGATTTTTTCTTAATTATGTAAGAATTCAGTTTTCCATTCATTGTTAAATGTTCTTCCATTTATGTTTTGTTAATGATTTAACGATCATTTAATAATGATCTATAAATTATTGAACGATTAAGTATTCTACTAATGATTGACTCTTCTATTAATGATTCAGATATTAATATTCCATTAATATTGATAATTTCTTAATTATGTAAGGAATCAATTCTCCATTCTTTGTTACATGTTCTAAAAATCATTTAAGGATTAAATATTCCATTATTTATTAATATTTTATTAATTATTTAAGGATTCTTTTTTCCATGTATTAATAAAGATTCTATGAATGATTTAAGGATTAAATATTCCATTAATGATCGATTTTTTAATTAATAATGTAAGGATCCCGTTCTCCATTCATTGTTAAAGGTTCTAAAAATCATTTAAGGATTAAATACTCCGGCAGCAAATTTAATCAAATTAAATCAAATCAAATTAAATTATCAAATTCAATCAAATTAAGTTGAATGAAATGAAATGAAATGAAATGAAATGAAATGAAATGAATTGAAATGAAATGAAATTAAATTAAATTAAATTAAACTTAATTCAATGACCCCATCCCCGTGCAGGCGGATCTGGGCCTTGTGGGAGGCGTTGAGCTGCCAGTTCAGAATCTGGCACCAAATTTAATCAAATTAAATCAAATCAAATTAAATTAAATTATCAAATTAAGCTAAATCAAATCCAATCAAATTAAATTAATCCATCAATGCTAATAAATAAAATTCCAGACTCCCAAACCCTTTGGATTAAAAATCCCATCAATTTTCTCACACGGTGCAGGCAGATCCGGGCCTTGCAGGAGGCGTTGAGGCGCCCATTCAGGATCCAGCACCGAATTTAATCAAATTAAATCAAATCAAATCAAATCAAATCAAATCAAATTAAATTATCAACTTAAAATAAATTAAATTAAATTAAACTCAATTCAAAGACCCCTTCCCTGGGAATGCTGTTGCACTGCACAGGCGGATCCGGGCCTCGCGGGAGGTACTGAGGGGCCGGTTCAGGATTCAGCACCAAATTTAATCAAATTAAATCAAATCACATTAAATTAAATTATCAAAAGAAATCAAATTCAATCAGATTATCAAATTCAATCAAATTAAATTATCAAATTCAATCAAATTACCACGCAGGTGGATCCAGACCTCGCAGGAGGCGATGTGAGGCCGGTTCAGGATCCAGCACCAAATTTAATCAAATTAAATCAAATCAAATTAAATTAAATCAAATTATATCAAATTAAATGAAAATAAATTAAATTAAAATATCAAATTCAGTCAAATTACGGTGCAGGCGGATCCGGGCCTCGTGGGAGGTGTTGAGCTGCTGGTTCAGGACCCGGCACCAAATTTAATCAAATGAAATCAATTCAAATTAAATCAAATGAAATTATATTAAATTAAATTATCAAATAAAATAAAATAAATTAAATTATCAAATTAAATCAAATTAAAATATCAAATTAAACCCAATTACCGTGCAGGCGGATCCGGGTCTCGCGGGAGGCGTTGAGCGGCCGGTTCAGGACCCGGCACCAAATCTCCAGGTCGGATCCCGATCCCGATTGGATCCTCACAGAGCCCTCGACCCCAAAAAGGCCCCCGGAGGTCACCGAGGCCGCGGCGGTGCCGGATTCGGGCCGGAGCTCGCCCCGTCTGTCCAACCAGAGCAGCTCCGGCCGCGGGAACCAGCCCGAGGCGCGGCACGACACGGCCAAGGCCCGGCGCTCGCGGCCGTGCAGGATCAGCCGCGGGGATTCGCCAATCGCTGCGGAAAAATGGGAAAATTTATATTAATAATGTTAAAATTGGGGTTTGCAGGAATTAAAATTGGGATTTTGTGGAAATCAGCATTTCCGTTCATTGAGGAGTTGCCGAGGGCCCGGCGCTCGCAGCCACGCAGGATCAGCCGCGGGGATTCACCGATCGCTATGGAAAAATGGGAAAATTTATATTTTAATATTGTTAAAATTGGGGTTTACAGGAATTARAATTGGGGTTTTGAGTTTCCATCACAGGATCACCCATGGGGATTCGCCGATCGCTGCAGAAAAATGGGAAAAATTATATTTTAATAATGTTAAAATTGGGGTTTGTGGAAATTAAAATTAGGGTTTTGTGGGAATTAAAGTTGGGGATTTGAGTTTTCATCACAGGATCACCCACGGGGATTCACCGATCGCTGCGGAATAATGGGAAAATTTATATTTTAATAATATTAAAATTGGGATTTACGGGAATTAAAATTGGAGTTTTGTGGAAATTAAACTTGAGATTTTATGGTAATCAAGGATTCCGTTCATTCAGGAGTTGCCATCACAGGATCAGCTGCAGGGATTCACCGATCGCTGCGGAAAAATGGAAATTTTTATATTAATAATGTTAAAATTGGGGTTTATGGAAAKTAAAATTGGGGTTTTATGGGAATCAGAATTAGAGTTTTGTGGGAATTAAAATTGGAATTTATGGGAATCAAGGATTGAGGAGTTTCCATAATAGGATCACCCACGGGGCTTTGCCAATCGCTGTGGAAAAATGGGAAAATTTATATTTAATTATTGTTAAAATTGGGGTTTGTGGAAATTAAAATTTGGGTTTTATGGAAATCAAAATTGGGGTTTATGGGAATCAAAATTGGGGTTTCCTGGAATTCAAGGATTCCTTTCCCGAGGAGCGGGAAAGCCTCGGAGGATTTTCCGGGGTTTGATCCACGGGGTCGGGAGGTCCTCGGGACTGGGAGTGAAATTCCCCAGGATTTGGGCAAATGTGTGAAATTTAAAAAAAAAACTGTAGGAAATAAATAAAGATATCAATGTAGGAAAGAAAAGAGAAATACAGAAAATAGAAAATAGAAAATAGAAAATAGATAAGAGAAAACAGAAAATACAAAATACAAGACACGAAATACAATATACAAAATATAAAACACAAATGAAAATATTATATATTTACATAATATATAAATATAAATAAATAGATAAAATAGATAAAATAGATAAAATGTAAAGCTGTTAAAAATAAAAATATAAACGACATTATCTGGAATGATAAACACATGTGAATATGAATATAAATATCAATATAGAATTAATTTATAATTAAATTTCAATTTTTAAAATATTAAATAATATAAAATAATATACTTGTATACTTTTCACATAAATATAATTATCTATTATATATTATAGAATATATTGTAATTAAACTATATATATTTATATTTATAATTGTATTTCTAATATATAATAAACACACTATATCTGACATATAATATGTTTTATATTATATATTTCTTATGTTTATTCATAAGAAAGAAATATTTCTTTATATGTTATATAAAGAATAAACTAAAAATATAAGCTATATTTCTTTTACAATAGATAATAGAAATAATAACATTCTACGAATTCTAGAAATAAATACTTGTTATATAAATAAATATATTTATATAATGTATAGATAAAATATATATATTTGATATAATTTTTTTCTCTAGAATACATCATCTCATCTTCATTTCCATATTCTAATTTAATGCATTTTTGGACTATAATAAAAACATTATAAATAAAAATAAATACAGACATCATATCATATAATATTTGTTTTATGTTATAATTATGTTAATGTAATAGATGTTTCTACAATTATATATTTATGCATTTATATATTTATATATTTCTACAAAAATATATGTGTATATTTTTATATGTATATACTTAAAATATGTGTATATATTTTTTATATTTTTTATTTTTTTATTTATATTAAAATATATTTATATATTTATATATTTATGCATTTATATATAGTAATATTGTAATTTCGTAATATTTATATTACATATCATTACACATTGAAATATTTATTTGTATTATAACATATAATACATAATTATATATTGAACTATATTTTATATATTATATTATAACATCTTTCTACATATTATCATACTTATTTCTAATATTCAACATAGAAGATGTCAAATATAAAAAATGCAAATCCTCAAAATACAAAAAAACAATTATAAAAAACGAACAAATATAAAAAAAGTAAATCCGAAAAAGCAANAAATCCTCAAAATACAAAAAAACAATTATAAAAAAAAAAAAAAAAAAAAAAAAATAAAACCGAAAAAGCAAAAAAAAAAAAACAAACAAACAAAAAACTAGCGGCAAAAAAGAGCAAATAAAAAAAATCAATCAGAAAATGCAAAAAAAATTAAAATTTAATATTTATAACAATATTTTGAACATTTTTTATTAAATATTATTTATAACAATTTTTATATATTAAAATTAACATTTATAACAAAAATTTGAAGATTTCCCGATATTTTTTGGGGGAAGGAAATGATGGAATTCCCACCCACCTGCCACTTCCAGCTGCACGGATTGCTCCTGGGATCTCCCCGCGAACGAGAGCCGGCAGCTGTAGAAACCCCGGTCCGAGCTCCGCACGTCCCCGAGCAGCAACGACGCGTTCCCGGTTCTCAATTCCCGCCGGAAAAACCCCGCCCGGCCCCGGTAGCAYTCGTCCCAATCCTCGGAGCCGCCGTTCCCGTCCCAGCCGCCCACTGGGACCGGTCCGGAGTGGCCGTGGAACGTCCAGTGGATGGAGAAATTGGCCGGAACGGGAACGGCGYTGGCCCGGCACGGCAGCACCGCCCGCTCGCCGATGAGAGCCAGCACCGAGGTTTGGGGAGCGCCGAGGGATCCGCCTGGGTCGGGAAAAAATCGGGGTTGGTTATGGGACTTGGGGTGGGGTTTTATTGGGAGAGGTTTCATGGGCGCAGRGAGAGGAATCCGGAGGGAAAAGACAGAAAAAATCGGGGATGTTCACGGGAATCACTTCGGACAATAACTTGATTTCCGGAGCGTCAAAATATTGGGAAATCAAAAAAAAATCCTGATCCCAATGATCCCAAAGTGGAGTTTTGCACAATAACTCAATTTCCAGGGTGTTAAAATATTGGGAAACCCCCCCAAAAATCCTGATTATTCCAACGATCCTGATGATCCTAATTATCCCAAAATTAAATTTTGAACAATAATTCAATTTCTGGAGTGTTAAAATATTGGGAAACCCCAAAAAAATCCTTACAATCCCAATGACCTCAAAATTGAGTTTTGAACAATAATTCAATTTTCAGGGCATTAAAATACTGAGAAACCCCCCAAAATTCAGGGATGTTCACGGGATTTGCTTCAGGCGTTTTGAACAATAACTCGATTTCCAGAGTGTTAAAATATTGGGAAATCAAAAAAAAAAAATCCCAATCCCAATGATCCCAAAATTTTGTTTTGAACAATAATTCAATTTTCAGAGCATTAAAATACTGCGAAATCCCCCAAAATTGAGGATGTTCATGGGATTCGCTTTGGGTTTTTCAAACAATAACTCGATTTCCGGAGCGTTAAAATATTGGCAAATCCAAAAAAAATCCCAATCCGAACCATCCCTAAATTGAGTTTCGAACAATAATTCAATTCCTGGAGTGTTAAAATATTGGGAAATCAAAAAAAAAAAATCCTTACAATCCCAATGATCTCAAAATTGAGTTTTGAACAATAATTCAATTTTCAGAGCATTAAAATACTGAGAAATTCCCCAAAATTCAGGGATGTTCTTGGGATTCACCTCGGGCATTTCAAATGATAACTCGATTTCCAAAGAGTTAAAATATTGGGAAATCCAAAAAAAACCCTGATCCCAATGATCCCAAAATAGAGTTTAGAACAATAATTCAATTTCCAGGGTGTTAAAATGTTGGGAAACCCCAAATAAAATCTCAACAATCCCAACAATCTCCAAATTGCGTTTTGATCAATAACTCAGTTTCTGGAATGTTAAAATATTGGGAAAACCAAAAAAAATCCTGACAATCCCAATGATCCCAAAACTGAGTTTCAAACAATAACTCAATTTTCCAGAGTGTTAAAATATTGGGAAACCGCAAAGAAATCCTGATCCCAATGATCCCAAAATTGAGTTTTGAACAATAATTCAATTTTCAGAGCATTAAAATACATTAAAATAGTGGGAAACCCCCCAAAAATTGGGGATGTTCACGGGATTTGTGCTCGTGGATTTCTCCTCGGGTGTTTCAAATGATAACTCAATTTCCGGAGTGTTAAAATATTGGGAAATACCAGGGAAAGGATGATCCCAATGATCCAAACAATCCCAATGATTCTGATGATCCCAACAATCCCAGTAATCCCAACAATCCCTACAATCCCAAGGACCCCAAGAATCCAAACAATCCTAACAATTCCAATGATCCCGACAATCCCAGTAATCCAAACAATCACAACGATCCCAATGATCCCACTGATCCCAGCAATCCCAATGATCCCATTGATACCATCAATCCCATCTATCCCAATGATTCCGACGATCCCAATGATCCCAACGGTCCCAATGACCCCAGTGATCCYAACAATCCCAATGATCCCAATGATCYGAACAATCCCAATGATCCCAAGAATCCCAATGATCCTGACAACCCTGACAATCCCAATGATCCCAACAATCCTCATGATCCCAATGATCCCATTGATACCAACAATCCCAATGATCCCATTGATCCCATTGATCCCCACAATCCCAACAATCTGGACAATTCCAACAATCTCAATGATTGCATTGATCCCAACAATCCCATTTATCCCAAAAATCCCAACAATCCAAATGATCCAAACAATCCCAATGATCCCATTGATCCCATTGAGCCTATTCATACCATTGATCCCATTGATCCAAACTATCCCAGGAATCCAAATGATCCCAATGATCCAAATGATCCCAATGATCCCATTTATCCCAATGATCCCAATGGCCCCAATGATCGGGACAATTCCAACAATCTCAATGATCCCATTGATCCCATTGATTCCATTTATCCTAACAATCCCATTGATCGCAAAGATCCCAATGATCCCAAGGATCCAGACAATCCGAATGATCCAAATGATCTCATTGATCCTATTGATTCCAACAATCCCATTGATCCCAACAATCCCATTTATCCCACTGATCCCAATGATCCCAATAATCCCAATGATCCCATTTATCCCAACGATCCCAATGATCCCAATGATCATAACGATCCAAACAATCCCATTGATCCCATTGATTCCATTTATCCCAATGATCCCAGCGATCCCAATGATCCCAATGATCCCAACGATCCCAATGATCCCATTGATCCCAATGATCCCAACGATCCCATTGATCCCAATGATCCCATTTATCCCATTGATCCCAACAATCCCATTGATCCGAATCATCCCAATGATCCCAACGATCCCAATGATCCCATTGATCCCAAAGATCCCATTGATCCCAACAATCCCAATGATCCCAATAATCCCAACAATCCCAATGATCCCAATAATCCCAATGATCCCATTGATCCCAATAATCTCAACAATCCCATTTATCCCATTGACCCCAACAATCCCATTTATCCCATTGATCCCACTGATCCCATTGATCCCACTGATCCCAATGATCCCATTTATCCCAACAATCCCATTGATCCCAACGATCCCAAGGATCCCAATAATCCCAACAATCCCATTTATCCCATTGATCCCAACAATCCCACTGATCCCAACAATCCCATTTATCCCATTGATCCCAACAATCCCAACAATCCCACTGATCCCAACAATCCCACTGATCCCAATGATCCCAATAATCCCAACAATCCCATTTATCCCATTTATCCCAACAATCCCATTGATCCCATTGATCCCAACAATCCCACTGATCCCAACAATCCCATTTATCCCATTGATCTGAACAATCCCAACAATCCCACTGATCCCCACCAGAAGGTCCCTCTCTCACCTGCGCCCAGGTGGGACGGGAGCTCCAGGAGCGGGAGCAGCCACAGCCACCGGAACGGGGAATCCATGGAGAGCCCGGAGCTCTGCGGGGCCTTCCCGAGGGAAAAACGGGGAACGGACAGAGGGGGAAAGAGTTTATATTAAATTGTGATAGTAAATTGTTATCTGAAATTTTTATATTGAATTTTATATCAAATTGTAACATTAAATTGTAACATTAAATTGTTATATTAAATTGTAACATTAAATTGTTATATTAAATTGTTATATTAAATTATTACATTAAATTGCTATATTAAATTGGTATATTAAATTTCTATATTGGAATTGTTATATTAAATTTTTATATTGGAATTGTTATATTAAATTGTTAGATTAAATTTCTATATTAGAATAGTTATATTAAATTTCTATATTAGAATTGTATTAAGTTTTTATATTAAATTTTTATATTGGAATTATCATGTTAAATTGTTATATTAAATTTCTATATTGGAATTGTATAAAATTTTTATTTTAAATGTTTATATTGGAATTGGTATATTAAATTTTTATATTGGAATTGTTATGTTAAAGTGTTATATTTAAATTCTATATTGCAATTGTATTAAATTTTGATATAAAATTTTTATGTTGGAATTGTTACATTAAGTTGTTATATTAAATTGTTACATTAAAATTTTATATTAAATTTCTATATTGGAGTTTTAATATTAAATTTTATATAAAATATTTCTATTATATTTTTATATTGGAATTTTTATATTACATCTTCAGATTGGAATATTTATATTAATAAATTTTTATATTGTAATTGTGATATTAAATTTTTATATTGGAATTTTTATATCACATTGTTACATTAAATTGTCATATCAAACTTTTATATTGGAATTTTTATATTACGTTTTTATATTGGAATTGTGATATTAAACTTTTATATTAGAATTTTAATATCGAATTTCTAAATTTGAATTSTTATATTGGAATTGCATTAAATCTTATATAAATGTTTATATAAATTTTTTAATTGGAATTTTTATATTGAAATTTTTATATTGTTAAATTTTTATATTAGAATTGTGACATTAAATATTTATATTGGAATTTCTATATCAAACTTTTTATATAGGCATTATTACTAAATTTTTATATTGGACTATATATATTAATTTAATAACATTTATATAACATTTATATAAATGTTATTAAAATTTTATACTGGAATTTTTCTATTAGATTTTTTACATTAAATTTTATATTAAATAAAATTCCTTGTGTTTTCCTGGTGTTTTCTTTTTTTCCTGGGATTTCCTGGTTTTTTTTCCCCTGGAATTTCCCATTTTTCCCTGTTTTTCCTGTTTTTTTCCCTGGAATTTCCCTTTTTCCCCGTTTTTTCTCTGTGGTTTTTTTTTCCCATTTCCCCCTGTTTTTTCCCCTGGAATTTCCCATTTTTCCCCTGGAATTTCCCATTTTTCCCTGTTTTTCCCCATTTTTCCCCATTTTCCCCTGCTTTTTCCTAGGATTTCCTGGTTTTTTTCCCCTGGGATCTCCCATTTCCCCTGGTTTTTCCCCGTTTTTTCCCTGGTTTTCCCTGTTTTCTCCCTGCTTTTCCTGTTTTTCCCCTGGAATTTCCCATTTTCCCCCATTTTTCCCTGGTTTTTCCAGTTTTCCTCTGCTTTTCCCCTCGTTTTCCTGTCTTTTTTCCCTGGAATTTCCCTGTTTTTCCCTGATTTTCCCCATTTTTCCCTGTTTCTCCCCATTTCCCCCTGTTTTTTCCCTGTTTTTTCCCATTTTCCCCAGTTTTTCCCCATTTCCCCCTACTTTTTCCTAGGATTTCCTGGGTTTTTTTCCCTGTTTTTCCCCACATTCAGGGAAAAACCCGCGCCGAATTCCCGCGGGAAAATCCGCCCACGCCCCGCCCACCTCACCCCCCAAATTAACGCAATTAAATCCCTCGATTCCCATGAAATTCATTAATCCCGGGATTTTTCCCACCGGGAATTCTTCACCCGAGCAGGACGGGCCCGGCGGCTCCTCGGGACGGGGTTGGGATCGATCTTTGCCCTTTTGGGGGTTTTATGGGGTTTTTATGGTGTTTTTATGGGGTTTTATGGGGTTTGCGTTTTCCGGCAGAGCCACTCGGGTAAAAGTCCAGAAATTCTTTGCAATGTCTCTCCCTGTCCATTTCCCCATTTTTTAATTATTATTATTATTTTTATTATTTTTTATTATAAATTATTTATTACAAATTATTATTTTAATTATTTTAATTCTTTATATAATTTTATTCTTATTAAATCCAATTATTAATCACTTTCGGATTAATGATTAAGCAGCTGCTGAAAGCCAATGAAAGAGCCAGAAAATATTCCGATGTTTTCCCTTCCGGCCCAATCCCAATTTTTTTATCCTGACATTGCTTTTTAGGAATTTTATTCCTAATTTGATTCTTTCCTAAATTTCCTAAATTTCTAATTTGATTATTTCTTAAATTCCTAATTTCATTATTTCCTAAATTTTCTCAATTCCTGAATTATTTCCTAAATTCCTAATTAGATGATTTCCTAAATTCCTAATTTCATTATTTCGTAAATTCTTAAATTCCTAATTTGATTATTTCTTAAATTCCTAATTTGATTATTTCCTAAATTCCTAATTTGAATATTTCCTAAATTTCCGAAATTCCTGATTTATTTCCCAAATTCCTAATTAGACGATTTCCTAAATTCGCATTTTTATTATTTCCTAAATTTCTGATTTGATTATTTCCTAAATTTCTAGTTTGATTATTTCCTAAATTCCTGATTTATTTCCTAAATTGCTAATATGATAATTTCTTAAATTCCTAATTTGATTATTTCCTAAATTTCCTCAATTCCTGATTTATTTCCTAAATTCCTGATTTGATTATTTCCTGAATTCCTAATTTGATTATTTACTAAATTCGTGTTTTTATTATTTCTTAAATTCCTGATTTGATTATTTCCTAAATTCAGGATTTGATTTTTTCCTAAATTCTTTATATGATTATTTCCTATGTTCCTGACTTTATTTCCTAAATCGCTAATTTTAATATTTCTTAAATTCCTAATTTGATTATTTCCTAATTCGATGATTTCTTAAAWTCCTGATTTGATTATTTAGAAAATTCCTGACTTTAATTCCCRAATTCCTAATTTTATAATTTCCTAAATTTCTGATTTGATTATTTCCCGGAGTTTTCGTGGAGCTCGAGGAAAGGAATTTGTGGGATTTTCCCCAGGAATTTCTGAAAAAAAAAAAAAAATCAAACTTGGTAAAGGGAATGTTTTAGTAGCGATATCATTGATTAATTATTAATTAAATATTAATTAATTGATTGATACAGTATATTACTATTATAATATGAAATTATATCCTAAATTAAATGAAAATATGAAATATCAAATACTAAATATTAAATAATAAATATATTGAATTATGATATATTGTTAAATATTTTATTTTATTTTTTAATATTTTATAGAATTATGTATTTTTGGAGGGGTTTTTTTGTAACAAAAGACGAATTAAAAGCCTGTTAAAGCAAAAAAAAAAAAATCCCAAGTTTTGAGAACTTTTTCCTCTAAACTTCTTCTCTGAGAATTTCAGGAAAAGGAATTAAAAGAGGGAATTTTAAAAATTGGAGATTTTTAATTTGCAGAAATTGCACGTTTTACCGGTTTTTCATGGGTAAACCCCCCATTTTTTACCATTTTTTCCATAAATAAAACCCCCATTTTTTACCGATTTTTTCTGGGATAAAAACCTCATTTGGGATTCGTTTTTCTKTAGATAAAATCCCCATTTTTTACCCGTTTTCCCTGGATAAAATCCCCAAATTTTACTGCTTTTTCCGGGGTAAAACCCCATTTTTTTGCCTTTTTCTTTTCCTGGGTAAACCCCCAATTTTTTGTCTTTTTTTTTCCTGGGTAAACCCGCCAGTTTTTCCAGTTTTTCTAGGATAAAAATCCTATTTAGGACTGATTTTCCCTGGATAAAATTCCCCCTTTTAACCGGTTTTTCTAGGATAAAACCCCCATTTTCCCCCGTTTTTCCCATTAATAAAGCTCCCGGTTTGACCGTTTTTTTCGTGAATAAAACCCCCATTTTAACCGTTTTTTCATAAATAAAACCCCCATTTTTAACCGTTTTTTCCGTGAATAAACCCCTTATTTTTTACCGTTTTTCCGTGAGTAAATCCCCATTTTTTATCGTTTTTTCCACGAATAAATCCCCCATTTTTACCCTTTTTTCCGTAAATAAAATCCTCACTTTTTACCCTTTTTTCCCGGAATAAATCCTCCATTTTTTTACCGTTTTTTCCATGAAGAAAACCCCCATTTTTACCGTTTTTTCCATGAATAAATCCCCCATTTTTACCGGGTTTTTTTCCAATCCCCACTTTTTACCGTTTTTTCCATTAATAAAACCCCCATTTTTACCGTTTTTTCATTAAAAAATCCCCCATTTTTTCCGTTTTTTCCATTAATAAAGCTCCCGTTTTGACTTTTTTTTTCCATGAATAAAACCCCTCATTTTAGCTGTTTTTTCCTTTAATAAAACCCCCATTTTAACCGTTTTTTCCATGAATAAAACCCCCATTTTTTATCGCTTTTCCCGGGTAAATTCCCACCTTTTACCCCAAGCCCCGCCCCCTCGCTGCTCCTCGCCCTTCCATTGGTCTGCGGGTCTGCCAATCATTCCCCGCTGTCCCCCCCGGGGGGGCGTGGCCTCCCCGCCTCTTTATGGCGCCTCGCTCTCCCATTGGCTGTCCACGCTGTCAATCCCTCCCCATCTCCCCGCCCATGTGAGCGTGGTTTCCCCGTGATTGACAGCTCCAATGAGGGGCGGGGCTTCACCACCTCCCCGACGTACGGCGGGGC